AGGGATCCCAGCACTTGCTCTCCCTCCTGCCCACCACGTGAGCCCCTTTGCTCCACCCCATGCTCCCCCAGGAAACGCTGCTCACCACAGGACCAGCCACCCATGGACTAAAGGCCTCCAAAACTGCAGTCAACGTAAGTCTTTCCTCATTTTATCTATCTCTGGTTTTGGTATTTTCAGTTTTTATTTTATGAGTTGTTTTATTTCTTTTGGCTTCCTGACACGTAATTGAGGCTGGCCTTGAAATCACTATGTAGTCCAGGCTGGCCTCCCACACAGAGCAATCCTCCTGCCTCATCCTGAGTGCTGGGAGAGCAGACGTGCACCCCCACGCCATGCCTGGCTTGTCACACTAACACAAGGCCAATCAAAAGGAGTAAAAAAAAAAAAACCAGACAAGAAAAGATCAGTGTGGTAAGTCCCTCCAAGGGACCCGCTACAGCTACGTGTTAGCAGACAGCTGGGCACAGTGGCAAAAACGGCAGAGCAGAAAGTAAAGAGGAACTGAAAACAGAACTGTGAAGGGTGTGTGAATACTACAAGTTTGGCCCACTCATGTGACTGCACCATCGCAACCAAGAAGCACCGTGGGAAGGCCCCACGACGGTACACAGCGGGTCAGCTCGGCGCTGAGCTAAGGCGGACTTTTCTCCTAGCAATTCTGAGCAGCAGTTTCAGGAATCGGGTTTAGAGGGTTTCCAGAAGCAGCGTGAGCATGGCAATCACCATCAGGTAGAACTGAAATGCACAACCTAGGGCCGGGGAGATAGCTCAGTAGAATAAGTGCTTGCCTGGCAAGTGCACGGTCCTGAGTTCAATCCCTAGTACCGCCAAAAAGAAAAGGGGAAATACACAACCACCATGGACAGTGATTTCAGTTCAGGGTAGGGAGGGAGCTAGCGCTTGCCCTATGAAGTTCTTCAAATTCCTCCCACACTCCAGGCACCTCGCATGTGCTTAGGCACTGCCATATTGAACCCTGACATCTCTGATAGATGTGGTTGGTGGTTAACATAACCTGTCAACACGGGCAGGCCCGTGGTGCTGATATATGGGCAAGCACAGTTCTGGATGCTTCTGGGAAGGTGTTTTTATGGATAAAATTTATAACAAACTAGTAAACTCTGAATAGGCCTCAATCAGCTTAAACTTTAACAGAACCAACGACAAGCTTTCCCACTTCTGCCAATAGACCGCCTGCGGATTCAACTACAGCTCTGCCCCCGGCAGCCAACCTGCCTAGCCCACAGCTTTTGAGTTCACTAAGCCTCCAGGACTTGGGTTTATTAGTTTCAAAATCTCTGTCCCTCTCTCTGTCTCTCAGAAGAACCTGACCAATACAGTACACATTACTCTAGCTTGGGGCCTTGTTGTTGAGTCAGAGTCACCCCAAGCTGCCCACACTGACCTCAAATCTGCTTCAGCCTCCCCAGCCGCTACAACTGCGACTCACAAATCCCTGGGTTTTTATTTTTATCACTCAGGACAATGGCAGCCTGGCCAGATCCATTCTTCCCCATAGTACCTAGAAGAATTGCCTCCAGAATCAGCCTAGGCTGAGTAGCTGGTGCGGGAGAGGTGACAGCAGTGAAAGCTGTCATCCCAAACCAGGCAGCCCTGGGAGCCCTCAATACTGGCACCAGACATGCACCCGCAGTGGAGAGATACAGATTTGAGACAAAAGCCTGATGTCCCAAGAGAGCAGGGAACACTGGACTGAGCCGGAGGAGGGCTGCTGTCTGTTCGCAAATGCCCGGAAAGCCAGGACCCAAGGCTGCAGATAACAGCTTCTCCTGCAGGCGCTCTGTCCTTTGATCCCTTGCTTGGGATGTTATCGGCTAGCATTTGTGCAAACCTAGCATTAGGCAAAAGGTGGAAGTCAATAGAGATAGTAGTCTGTATTCACTTAGGTAATTATGCACATTCCTTAGTTGCCTTTACCCCTCAATAAAAGTGAGATGCTTCTGAGGCTCTGGGCTCACTTGGAGAGAGACTAAGCTCAGTGAGACCTCTGAAGCTACATTCATCAGGTCTTCTCGTCGTTTCTTTTGGCACCGACCCGTAACATACAACATGCAGCCCTGATGTACCCAAGCCACGCGGGCACACTCTTCCTCTGGTTTCCTGATTCAGTTATTTCAGGTTAAAAAATAAAAAATTTTAAAAAATTATTTATTTTCTTTGGTACAGAGATCTAAGTCAGAACTTGCGGTTGCCAGGCAGGTACTTACACGGCTATCTCCGCAGTCCCCAAAACCAGATATTCTTACTAAATGAATACTCAAAAACTTTGAAAACAATAGGAAAAATAGTTAATACAGCATGGAAGAGTAAGAAATAAAAAGAAAAATAAAAAATGGTTATCGGTCACCCAGGTCTACCTAAATGCACAGTGTACCATACCTGCAATCCCAGTACTTGGGGGCTGAGGCAAGAATACTGGAGGTTCAAACTCAGACTGCAATCTGGCAACAAGACCCTGTCTCAGAATTTAAAAAATAAAACAAACAAAAAAACAAACCTGAAAAAGGATGAGGATATGGCTCAGTGCAGATGTCCTGGTTATCCCCAGGATCAAGAAAGAAAGAGGGGATGGGGAGGGGAGCAAGCAAGCATGCATCAATCAAATAACAGTAACCTTTATTTTGTGCTAAAGTCACCCATTCACTCCCACAATTATTATTATGAAAACAACTATTTTTTGCCTTATGTGGTATTAAAAAAAAAAAATTTGTTCTTAACTATAGAACAAGGCTCCAAGACATCGCTTCATTCTAGCTACAGGTAGTAAAAGACATACAAGTCAGAAGGTTGAACAGGAATGGAATCAAGGGTTACCGCAATCTCAGGCACAAAGAAGAGCTTGGCTTTTGAGTACAGAGTTTTTAAATTCTACCTGTAGCCAGGAGCCCTTTCCCAGCCTTTGTTTTTAATCTCAACTTCATCCCCTCTTCTTGTTTCTGCCTGAAAGCCTTGCTCCAGTCATTCCTCAGCCCACGGCGTGGGCGGTGGCAGGGCTTCTCCTTCACCTTTTCGCCAGAAACTGTCCTCTGGTGGAAGGACACAGACACAGTGAGCGTGCAAGATCAACAAAGGTCAGCCAACTTGCCCTAAAGGGGCCAAGGTTTCAATGAAGACATGCCATTTCAGCTGGAACGGAAAAATGAATTTAGTAAAAAAGAGAGATGGTATTCCGGATGGAATTTCAGAAACTCTAAAACTCAGAGTCTGTATGTTACTTCGCTAAGTAAAAGAACAAATGTATAGGAGTGGAGAGGTGAGCTTTAGCAGGACGTAATGCTGGAAGGGTCAGCGGGGATTATGTGGTGAGGAGCCAGGGATTTCATGCCAACGACTTTGGCTTTTATTCTAGAAGCAAGCAAAGTTATGAAGGATTTCTAAACAGAGAAGGAACAAATCTGTGGGCTTAGCCTCTTTACAGGCAGTACTGAAAGAAAAAACAAAAATCTTGCCCTTTATGTGAATAAAAAGCAGTTGGCAATAGCGTGGTCACCTAAAACTTTATAATCACAAATTAAGGAACTATTAAGTTTAATAAAAAATTAAGCCATAAATTAAAACTGAGCCTTGACTGTGTATTATTAAAAGGCATAAAAGGAATTCCATGTGCAATACTAAAAAACTGAGCTTACAGCATTTCCAAATAAAAAATGTACCGTGCACAAAGTAGCAACTACTATAATTACTCAATAAACACATAGGTGAAGTTTTTTCTCAACCAAATAAAGTTCAACCGGAATTGAATCTTTTTTATTATGTAGAATTCATGACCTCAACTATAAACTAAATACAAACTGGTAAGCAAAGGTTTTAAAGTGTGGGGAAAGTCAAACAAATTTTACAAGTAACTAAAAACCTGAAAGGGAACTAGCCTTAAACTATATTTCTAAAAAGTGCAGAGAACAAAGGAAACCACCACAAATCCTCTTGCAGATCCTTTGTTCCCTTCTCCTCTTTCACTTCTTCTTTTGCTGACAGTTCTTTTTCAGCATGCCCAGAGAAACCTTCGAAATCTATTCCAACAGCCACTCCCCACTTGACGTTAGCAGAAGGACGCTGCAAATAGTTCTACAGAAAATCCCAGGATATAAAGCAAATGAGAGCAGAGAGCTCCAGGTGAAAGGGGTCAGGAAGACAGGGAGTCGTGGAGAACCTGACCCGAAGCCTCCACTTCAACCTTCCTATGAGCGCTTAATTTTCCCCAGTAAAGTAGGAAATAATCGGTCTTGACCAAGCTCTCAAAAGAGAAATGGACCCCAGACTTAAGAGTTGGCTGAGAAAAACACGACTACCCACTACTTCTAAAATTAAAATGCTTTCTTTTTCTTACGCCCAAATTCAAACGTCTGAATTACAAATTATTTCCTTTAAGTTATTCTACAAACTCATGCCATGTTTCTAATCCAAATTTCTATTTAAAATTCACGAAGGTCAGTAACCATGCATTTAGTAAGCGCTTCCACCAGGCCAGCCCCGCTGCCAGCGCCAGGTCTTCTGCTCTCGTTCAGCCACCAGGAAATTAAGTAACTGAACTCCGAAACCCACCGTGGCCTGCCCGAGACCACCAAGCGAGGAGGTGGCGGACACCCAAGCCGAGAGCCGACCTTGCGCTCTCAGCTCCCGAGGTCGTCCACGTGCGCGCCCGTCTCCCACGGGCTCCTCGCCCTTCCACCCGAGGCGTCCCGGGGCGGAGGGCTGAAGGGGCTGTCGCGCCAACTGGCGAGGAGCATGGACCACAAGTCGGGGCTCTGGACCCCCCAGTAAGCGAATGAAGCGAGGCGGTGAACGAGAACGGCCCGGCAGGAGGAACTTAAACCTGCGAGCATCCGCGGCAGGTGTGCGCGGGCGTCGGGACGGCGCGGCCCGGCTCCAGGCGTTGGGGAGCCCGCACCTCCACGAGCTCTCGCGCCCCGCGCCGCAGGGCGGTGGCGGTCCGGCGGTTGGGCCCCGGGCCCCGAAGCCCCCCAGCCCACCCTTACCTTCTGCGGGAAGTAAAGCACCGAGTAGTCCCGCACCCCGGCGGGGCCGGACGCGCGGCCGGCTGCGTGCAGGCTGCCCAGGGTCCTCAGGGCCGGCCGGAGGGCCGCGGCGAGCCCGGGCACCAGCACGGCCAGGAGCGGGAGCAGGA